GCTGTGCCACCAGTATTTCAAATACCAGCAGGGTCACCCATGGTGAACAGGTTTAAGAGAAGCTTCCAGACTAAGACTAAAAAGAAAGATCTAGTGATCTACTTCCAAAAATTAGCCAGTGAACCCTATGCATCACAACAAACCATTGTGCTGGAAGATGAGCCCTCTAGATTGGAAGGCACTAAAAATACACAGGGACCACAACAGTGGACTGGAGCATACCAAAGATGATGATGATGTAAGGGTGACATGCGATAAACTGTGAAAGGAATTCTAAGTTGTTTTTCAGCTTCTGATCTTCCTGGAAAATCCCTGCCTGGGTGGTAGAAACTGCTGGCTAAAACCGGTAAAGAGCAGCTGCATCCCACAACGCATGCACAGGAGAGACCCCGAGTGTCCGCCAGATGACTTCTCCGGAACTAAAGTGCCATTAAAAGACTGGAAGGAACCAAAGTGCTGCAGTACAAAACTGAGGGAAAATATTTAGAAGCGAGAGGTCCCACACGAGCATCTGGCCCAGAGATCTTCCCCTACCCTGCTGTTATTATGCGTATAATTCCACTTAAATTTAATGAATATGCATCACTTCCTTATTCTGCCACCCCATAAATGTGCAGCACATCCCTCTAGCAGGGAGCCTGATCTGAGAAAATTTCTCCTGGCTCCTTGCTTGCCGGCTGGCAATAGACGTTGTTTTCGATTTCCCAAAGGTCGGTGTCTTGGTCATCGGTTTTCCTTGCGCACCAGGCCAGGCCCACAACTGGCCTGCTTACTGTGACACAGGACTGCACATGTTTTCTTCTGTCATACATGACGTCACCATGAATCAGGGCTGACTCTACAGTAACAACAATTAAGGGGAAAATAAGACATTAAAAAAAAAATTATTTCTCTTCTGTGTACTTTCAATATATTTAACCAGTTTAAACGTTAAGATGAGAGTATTATAAAAATACATGACGATGTAGAATTACCTAGAGTAAAAAAAAAAAAAAAAAGCCACCTTTAAATCTTGAATCACATATTTTTATAGGTTCTCAGAGTTTGTTGTAGCTATGGAAGAGGCTGCATATGCCCGGCTCACTATTATTGACTCCCCATTGCTAACCACCACATTGTTGTGTGATTTTGTTTTTTCCCTACGGTTCCAGTCTCTACAAAAGGTTTAAGATTAACCGATGTTCCTCCCTGGAGGGTGGAAAACAAATGATAATGATCTAAGAATGACAAACCAAACAAAGCACCCATCTTGTGACAAGAAAAAGCAGGATGTTGCCAGATAATCCCCAAGGATGTCACCAGATAACCTCTAAGAATACCAGTAGAAGGTTAACTCATCTAAGACATCACCACCTCAAGGGGAAACCAACACAAACTTCTAAGATCCATAATCCTGTCCCTATAAAAGCCTTCAGCTGATCTCCAGTGGGCAAGACGGCTTTTTTGGCGGAATCTATTCCCCTCTGTCTCCTATATATTGATACATAATAAACATCTTGCTGCTCACCTCACCCCGTCTCACAATTGGCTATTGCAGTAGATGGCTCCAATCCGCGTTATTTCAGTAACAGCTATCTTTCTTTTTTTCTGGAACTTTTTTTTCTTTTGTCCAATATCTCTAGCATTATTTTGACAGAGCTGAAAGCAAAAACGTTGAGGTGCCCATGAGAAGGACGGTTCTTATATATCCCTGGCCAGGTTTAGGCAGGAAATATGAAAATATGACAAAAATAAATAAAAATTTATTACAGGATTTCAAGATCAGTCCTACAGATTCTAAATATTCATGAGATTTGGAATGCTTCAAGTATTCAATTCAAATATCAATCTAAATACTAAAAACTTGCATTGATTGTACAACAGTAGATCTGAATTTATTGTTTATAGATAACTTTCTACTGAAAGAATTTAACAAAGGGAGTTGATAAGAACATGCAATTTTCCTCCAAAGGTTTGTCATGGATTAAATTCTGTCCCCCCAAAATATGTGTCAACTTGGTTAGGCCATGATTCCCAGTATTGTGTGTTTGTCCTCCATTTTGTGATTGTTTTTAATTTTATGTTAAAGAGGATCAGGGTGAGATTATAACACGCTTACCCAGGTCATATGCCTGATCCACTGTAAAGGGAGTTTCCCTGGGATGTAGCCTACACCACCTTTTCTCTCTCAAGAGATAAAAAGGAAAGGGAAGCAAGCAGAGAGGGAGACTTCATACCACCAAGAAAGCAGTGCCGGGAGCACAGCGTGTCCTTTGGACCCGGGATCCCTGCATGGAGAAGCTCCTAGTCTGGGGGAAGATTGATGAGAAGGTGGACAGAGAAAGAAAGCCTTCCCCTGAAGCTGATGCCCTGAATTTGAACTTTTAGCCTACTTCACTGTGAGGAAGTAAACTTCTCTTTGTTAAAGTCATCCATTTGTAACATTTCTGTTATAGCAGCACTAGATAATTAAGACAGGGTTTAAGGAAAAAGATGAAGAACTCTACCAATTTAGTGTTTGTATTTGATATTTTAAGCATAACACTGTATTCTAAATACCACTCACATCGAATATTAATTGAATTATCTTAATACCATTTTATTAGAAAATAGGACATGATTATGCTTAAAAATCACCAGCCTAAATGTATTTAGAAATTGAAGTGAAAACATTTTTCTGTATGTCTCCCTACTCACTATCCTAGGATTCTCTAATATCTTGCTGCTGATTTTGTTTTAGCACTATAGTTTCCTCTAAATTTCTCTGAGAAAATAATTAGCACTTGATCGTTACAAATATGCCAGTAATTTAAAGAAAAAACTGTTCTTGAAAACCAGTAACATTGGAAACATAAAATATGTATTTATACAATTCACTTTATTTTTCTATCTGCCTTCTGATCTTATCCTACTGTCCTGAGGAAAACACTTGTTGAATTTCATAAGTCATACCCACATTCATTTCATGCAATCTTATTCACGAATTTATTAAAACTGTGGATGATTATTTTAAATGCATTTAGTTCACTTTAAAAATAAAATGGCAAACTCAGTTCTTATACATGGTCTCTGAAGTAGAAAATACAGGCTGACAACCCTAGATAAATATGGGAAGTAAGAGTTAATTGAGGTCATGTTAATAATGAGTTGAAAATAAGTAGGTCAGCTTTGGAAAAACTGGTGTTCATCCCTCTGAATCCTGCTGGAAAAAACACTATAACCACGATTCCACACTATTTTCATAGAAAGGTTCTTTTATGCTATTATGAATTTCCACAGAACTACGAGGTCTGAGACTGAATTAAACAAAAAGGGAATTATGTAATAAAATACCATGGCATGCCAGATTCCCACTGTAGAATAAAAAAAGTATAGTTCTTTTCAATTTTGTCACTTCTGAAGTAAATTAAACCCAGATAGTTTAATTTTCTTCACATGATTTTCATTCTAGAAGGATGTTGAGATATTGTCTAGCTAACCTATGCACCTCTTTTAACACAGGAGAATATGAAAATACTCCATAGATAGTAAAGTACTCTAATTAAAATTAGTCTAGCCTACTTGTTTACTTGTTAATATGTCATCAATGTGCTAATGTGTTCTTTCATTTTACATGTGGATAATTTTATCCATCTTGGATAAAAAGATGGTAAACCATGTGGCCAGTCCTGGCTAGTAACTCTTTATGCACTCTGGAAACTAATTCCACTATACTGTTTTAGATAGCTCATAATTCCCTAATAAAAGGCATGGTCCATGATACAAATGCATCACATTTCCAAAATGTAGAATCTATTCAAAATCTCTTTTTCCAACTTCATGCATCATACTTCACTGTAATTCTTATATCTTTCTCTTTGGCTACAATTCTTAGCTTTCTTGAGCTACTCTTAGCGGTTCTTTCCTCTTATTTCTGGAAATTATTTTCCTGCCCAAATGAATTATCCTCCACTTGTCCCCGTTGAACTCAATTCAATTTGTATCTTCCCATTTCTCCAACTTGTCAAGAAATTTTGAATTTAAATCCTTTTCTACAATAAGAAAGTCAGTCCACCCAAGTAGATGTCATCAGCACGAATACACTTTGCTTTCATTCAAGTGATTGATAGAAGTATCTGTTTTATGCCTTGAAGCTTCTGTCTGAATTATCTGCCCCAAAGTTAACTTAAAACTATTGCTAACTGCTATGATAAAATTTACTGCACAAAAGGAAAAATGTGATATAAATAATATAATTAATTACTTCATTTCTTGAATACTATATATCATATTAAATTAAAACAAGCTAAATCTATTTTTTGTCATTCTCATCATTCTAAAGAAAATGAAATTAATTAAATAATGGGGTTTTGGAAACTTTTACTGCTTGTCTATTTCTAATTAATGAAGGGGGAGACTGCCAATCTTTCCAAGTATTTCTGGTTAAAATATTGAACAAGTGAAAAATAATATTACAAAATTATTATAGTAAGTAGCACTTAGGCATCCAATGCATGTGCAATCATGCCTGACACAAAATAAAGTTACTATAATCCTGACTTCTAGAACCTTATATTTGTAATGTCCATTAGGCTGCAGATTCTAATTCGCTTATTTTCCACATCAATGACTTTGGATATTTTAACTCAAAAAAAAAAAAAAAAACACTATTGATGAATTCATTTACACTGTATATAACTTTTAAAATGTTTGATGATTTTATTTATCTCATTGTGGTGAATAATATTACTTTTCTTCTTACTTTTAACTTTAATATCATAAAGCACACTGAGAAATCCACTTAGCATATTCTTCAAGTCAGGAAATGGCTTAATATATACCTATTCTTGGAGCCCCTTGATTGCCCGAGGATTCCTTTTGTCTGCCAAGGTTTAAAAAAATAGAAATAAAAAAAGATAAGATGTAGAGGATTTGTTAATTATGATAATCTGGATTTACATAACAGCAAACTTATCTGGGAATTTAAGTATTTATATTAAAACCTATAAAACATTCAGGAAATCACAGTAGGAAGACCAAAATTATTTACAAAGGATCATTTATTAAACACTTTTTATTTATTTTTTTTTTACAAAATACAAAGATTGTTGTTCTGTATGAATACATCACATATGAAAAAATAATGTGTCTTTATTTCAAGACATTCAGAATTTTGTTGTCTATCAACATGAGGAATCAACTTTGCTTTGCAACTTGTCTAATACTATTACCAACTGGGCAGAAATCCCTTTTCTTGTTAATTAAATCATATTTATAATAGCTAACATTTTATAGAAATACAATCAGACAGTGTCTGTCATACAAAGCTCTTTCTGCAAGGTAACTGACTTGCCTATGATCCTAAAAATTTTTTTAAGCTATAAGATAAGAAGAGTTGAGGAGCTAGGTAAGTTTTAAAATATGTATTAGCAGCAGCTGATAGTAAATGCAACATAAGATTTGTTTTGTCTGTGGTACAAGAATATGTCCTATCAGACTCTACTGTATGTTTCTCTACTTGAACACAGGAAGCATGTACTGATTGTCTTTGGGATGACAAAAAGGTATAAAAAGACAAGAAGCTGGTTTTCATTGTGAGTGCCTGTTTTCATCAGCTTATATGAATGTATTGCTAAAATTAGTGAGGACAGAAAAATGAGTTAAGTATAATATATACAGAGTTAAAATACATTTTATATCCACTTAAGAGTGATTTCAGGCACGGTGGCTGTTCAGGATAAAATGTTTCATGGTTTATTCTTGGTAGCAATTTAATTTTCAGTGCAAGCAAAAGCAAATACCTGTCCACTGTCATACACATGACTGCAAACATCCGGAATGTTCAAAGTAAGTTCATCTTCTGCATCTTCACTTTGGAGGCATCTTGAATAAAAACGTCTCATGGTTTGCTCTTGATAGCGATTTAATTTTCAGTGCAAGCAAAGGCAAACACATCTGCTCACTGTCATACACATGACCAAAACACATCTGGAATATTCAAAGCAAGTTTAGCTTCTCCATCTTCACTGTGGAGGCATCTTTAATAAGTGGCACTTAGTGTAAACCCTCTATAAATCACGAAAACCAGACTTGAGATGCCTGAATTTAATAATAATAAAAATCACTGTCATAGTCATCTTTCTGTGTAAACGATGTTAGGGTAAGGCTTGCCATCACAACATTGCTTTCCTGAGAATGGAACTGGTCTTCTCGGCATGCATCATAAATGTACGTGCTCTGAGCTGTGGTCACTGTCGTGACTATCTTCATTTGCTAAAGAGTCCCCTGTGTGCTGGAGGGTGGCTGCTCCAATTCCCGATAGCTCTGAAGGGAGAAGTGTTCCTTTTTTCACATTCACCAGTTCCTTTTCTCGAGCTGCTGCTCCTTGCTGCCCTCCTTTTACCCTCTTCCACTTCATTCGCCTGTTCTGGAACCAGACCTTCACCTTTTACAAAGAAAGAGAACAGATAAAGAAATTAAATAGACATATTTTCCTCTTTATTGTCATCAGTTAAAAATAATTCCTCAAGTGACACCAGGATACTATGAAAGAGTAAATATAAAAATAGATTAAAATTGAATTTAAGCAGGTTTCATAATCCTGCTAATGATTTTCTAAATAATTTTTAAACATGCTGAAGGCCACTGCAATTGCGACACATTTTATATACGCCGTGACATCCAATAAAAAAATAAACAAACAAAAAACCAGGAATAGATGGGAAAGAACTCTACCTTTTAAAGTTCCTCAAAGGTATTTGGCTTTATAAAGAGTTAATCATAAATTATAGCTAACATTGTAATATATGTATTGTTCAAACTTTTTTTCCCTTTAAATTCTTCTTTGACCAGATGTTTAACTACATACCTGGTCAAAAAAGAATTTTGCAGGGGAAAAATTCTGTCAGTTCATGAGCTAATTTAAAGCATGCCCAAGAAGATACTGATAAAGGTGTATTTGAAAGGTCATTCTGTACCATTATAGCCCGCAGCTTCGTTCACAAATCTTTATTTGACCATTCCTTCCCACAGTGAGCCCTTCTTCTTCTGAGCTATTCTTTTTTACTTATTTTTTTTGCCTTTAATACTTTAATTTTTCTTCAAAAACAGGTAATTCTAATCATTTTCTAATGGTATGGTCAAACATAAAATTTCTCAACTCTGCTAAACTCTAAAACTGAAATTATATATTATATAATTGACATCAACTTTATAGAGATAAGATTCCCTTTCAAAAGATGAACTGAAATTGCCTAATACACTTAATGTTTATATAAATTTTAAAGCAAAAAATAAAGTATGCACTAAATGACCATCCATGATCAGAACCAGAATAATATAGACATCATTGCATCTTCTTGCTAAGTATTGCTTTCACATTGTATTTCTTTCATTGTATATTTTTCTTAAGCTAAATTTTCCTTTTATATTTTATTTATCTACTCCACCCGACGTTATCACAAGCATTAATTTTCTGTTTGACGTCCCCATGCCTTTCTTTAAAACAAACGAAAAAAGAAACAGCTTTTATCAGAACATGTGGCACTAAAGAATACATTATTTTTGCTTGTTTCTCAGGGTTATCAAATTGGAATTTTTTGACTATAGACTCTTTGCCCTATCCATGCTGAAAAAGGGCCTATGTTCATTTTTGTTGCTGCATACTACTTCACTGTGTGAATATACCACAATTTATCCATTCTCCTGTCCATGAACACTTGCATTACTTTTTTTTTTTAATGCATTTTTCAAATGCATTTGTGTTTTGATGAACATGTGATAGAACTTCTCAGAGTGTTCTACCCAAAAGTTACATTGATGGATCTTAGGGTATATGAATGTTCACTTTAAGACAATGTTCACTTGAAGACAATACAGAAAAAATGTTCTCCAAGGTTGTGCTGATTTAACTCCTTCACGCACACTCCAATGTGTAAGAGTTCCTGTTGATTCACATCTTTGCCAACATTTGAGGTTATCAGTCTTAATTTTTTGCCAATACTGTACTTTTACACAAATAATAGGTGCCTTCCACATTTGTTTGCCAAATGCTCTCCCCTTCCCTACGAGGTATTTTTGTAAGCACTCTATGATAGCTATTTTTTTTTTTTTACAGCAACAGGCTAAAAAAAAATTGGAACAGCAGAGCTTACAAAAATACTTTGCAGGGGGAGGGATCTACTGGCAAACAAACGTGGAAGGCACGTGTTATTTGCATAAAAATACAGTACACTGACTGTTATCACATTGTGTTCTTATCTTGCATTTCCTGGTTAATGAAATAAAACATCATTTCAAATTTTTATGGATCATTTGGGTTTCTTCTTTTGTGAATGCCTCTGCATGCCTTGCTTGTATTGAATTTTTTTAATTTACACTTATTCTTTATTAAAAAACAAACAAATCTATTTCCATTGAGTCAATTCCAACTCATAGCAACCCTATAAGACAGAGAACTGCCCCATAGAGTTTCCAAGGAGCAACTAGTGGATTTGAACTGTTGCCCTTTTGGTTAGCAGCTGAACACTTAGCCACTGTGCCACCAGGGCTCCTATTCTTTATAGACTTTATGAAGTATGTTCTGGATGCTTATTTAATTTTTTGTGGTTATATGTCTGCTACTATCTTCTCTCTGTCTTTTTACTTTCCTTAGAGTATCTTTTGATGATCAGATGCTCTTAATATTAATGTATTCAAATTTATCAATTGTTTCTTTCATGGCTAGCACTTTTATATCTTCTTTAAAAAATTAGTTTCTTGCTGAAGATACAAAGATACTTTTCTATAGCTTCTTCTAAGAGTTTCAAAGGCTTGCTTTCAAATTGAAGTGCTTAATCCATGAAGTATTGATTTTATTATATTGTATAGTGTAAACAAAAGATCTAAATTGACTTTTCTCCATATGGGCAACTAGTTATCTCAAGACCATTTATTAAATAGTCTACCCTTCACCCAGTGATCACTATATCACTTTAGTCATAAATCAAGTTTCCCTGCATACATGTGCTCTGTGTTTTACTCCTTTGATCAATTTTTCTATCCCTGTGAAAAAACCATACTGTCTTAAGCATTATAAATTTATAATATGCTTTTCTGTTTGGTAGGAGTAGTTGTCCTGTTTTATTCTTTTTCTTCAGGAATATCATGAATGGTTTCCATTTACATTTTAGAAACAATAGCAATTTCTGCAAATATACAGTGCTAAAAACAAAGTGAAGAGAAACGTATTAAATATGCAAAGGTTTATATATTTCAGTGGTCTTTGAATCAATAGTCCAACAAAATTAGTATAGTGTCATCAGATGCTTGCACCATATAACATTTAAACTGAGACCCTTCTCAACTATGGAGCACTTGGCTGCTAACCAAAAGGTCAGTGGTTCGAATCCACCCAGTGGCTCTGTGGGGAAAGACCTGGTGAACTGCTTCCATAAAGATTACAGCCAAGAAAACCCTATGCGGCACTTCTACTCCATAACATGGGTAGCTATGAGTTGAAATCGACTAGATGCCACCCAGCAACAATGACTATCAGGCCATAATTGAAATCTTGAATCATACATTGCACATACATATGACAATAAAAAGATACAGTAAAAAAGATAGATTCAAAACTCAGAAGGAACTAACTGATATGTGTTCGTATGGTATTATTACTTAATAACAAAAATAATGATTACTTGCCTTTTATTGCATACTACTAAGGGCTAGGCAACTATACTAGGTGTTATGTATGCATTAATTCTAATACAACTTTTTCCAGATACTGTAAACATTATTCTTATTTTATGGATGAGGAAGTTGAGACTCAAAGGTTAAGTGACTTGCCTCACATTACACAGATGGGAAAATGTGGTGCTAAGATTTAAACATGGGCTTGTTGGCTCCAGATGCTGCTTTTTATTCTATTATACTTTAAACTTTTATTTTTTAAGCATTCAGGATAAAAAAGTAAAGCATATAAAGTATGTGCGTTCCATCCACATGATTACTATCATTCAGGTAATTCTCCTACTCAATAAAATAAGGTTTGCAAATATGACATGATTTTCCTGTACTATAATTTAGGCAATTACACTACTCAATTTAATTACCTTTGCAAGCTTGACATTGGATGTTGCCTTAGATCTTTTCCACATGAGTTGGGTTCTACTCTTGGCTTCACTTCTAAGTTTTTGTGTGTATTTGGGAAAATTATACTTCTTTCTGCCTCAATTTTTATATTTGTATTATTGGAATAATGAGCCTTTAAAAATTCTCCATAGGGACATTTTCTCCATACACAATCCCAGATGGAACAAGCACATACGTTGTCATCATCATCATCATTGTCACCAAGAGCTGAAACATCCAGTCAAAATAATCTTGGCAGAAAAATGGAAGGAAGAGATTTCTTATAATCTATACTTATTTGCTTTTCTGGGAGGAAGGGGACGGTAAATCTATAATAGTATAAAACCTGTCATGTGCAATTCTAAATGAGAAAAATGTGAGAATATGGTATAGGACTTGGAGATACTATAGGCCATTTTGCAATATTTCTTACATTTACCATGTGAAATTTCACCATTTTTAACTTTTTAAACAGACTTATAAAATACTTCACAGCACTTAAAATTATTATAAAATACTTCCATAGCACTTAATAATTATATAGTAATTCTAGTATCTTCATATACTATTTTCTTCAGGCATTAGATTATGATTTGAGAACTGAACTCCAAGAAATTGGTAATGGAATGAAAACAGTAACAGACACGTGATGAGTACATCTTTTAAAAATGGAAAGGAAGAGTGCAAAACTGCAAAAATCAGTGTTTATAGGTTTGTTTTCAAATATGCTATAAAATATTGATGTGTGTTAAAAATAAAGATAATAAGATTGTTGGGAAAAGCACACATATTTCTATCAGCACTACCGTGTTAGCAAAAAAATCTACAAGAATAATTGCAGATTATAAACTAATATTGCCATTAGAATAATAATATCACAGCAGAATTATAAATAAAACTTTATATTAATTTAGCATCACTTCATCAATCCCGCTTCATTTTTTGTTATTGTTTTTAAGACATTGTACCACCACCAGGGCTTCTGTTCTTAAGATAGCAGAGCATAATCATTCAAATGCCTGACATTTTATTTTAAAAACAATTATTCTCATTATTTTGACCAAAATGTACAACTATGTTTCATATAATAATCAGCATTTGTAAACTAAATAGTGTGTAAATAGTCTCACATTTCTTTGGTGACTTGACATGACCTTTTCTTCATTCATTCATACATTAAAAAATATTACTGAATGTCTAGTGACAGGTACTGTGTCAGATCAAAGATGGGAGGGTTGGAGTGAGGAATACACAAATAAATAAGACATAGGCCCCACCATTAAGTTAGTCACAATTAAGAAAAGGGAGACACGTAACTAACAGAGATTTTAC